TGAACATGACTGATGCTCTATTCATTGCTCTATTCATTATTCTCTTGTTTTAATATTCCATATGCTGTACATATTCGCCAATTCGAATACATACGTGCTGGTTGCCACTCTTCGCTGAATTCTGGATTTCTAGTTTGTCGGGTTGTACCGATATACGTACATAATTACATTACCACAACAGCGCTATTCGCTATAGTTGTAGAATGTCTGTCCTGACTCCCTGGGGTTGTTTGTTAGGGCTGAATCTTGCTAAACCATTCTTCGTTATCACGAGGAAATCTACACAGCGCTATTCGCTAGAGTTGTAGAATGTCTGTCCTGACTCCCTGGGGTTGTTTGTTAGGGCTGAATCTTTGATTGCTAAACCATGAAGTCAACACAAGCCAACAAATAGGAGCTTCTGATGCGAACATTACTCACTAAAGTATACGGAAAATTTCCAGCATATAATATGTACTACCTGAGTGTTTTCTCACTTTTAAAAGGGAGAATAATGTCAAAGGGTCACTCTGTGCACTCCATGTAACCAGGCCACTGAAATATTTAGTGGCACCCAGTGTGATTCATAACCTTTTACCCCTTCCATTTCCATTATGATACCAGATGTTCACTCTCACTATCAACAGGAAATCTACGTCCGAGCAGATGGGCAAGTGTTAAATCTATTTACTCGTAAATTGCGAATTCGAAGTTTCTCACTGCAAAGTTGTGTTAGGTGCACCACTGCTGATCATCAGTAACAAGGAAACAGATTTTATTCACCGCATAGCTTCACTGAAGACAGTAGCTGCCACCTGTTTGAGCTTAAGACCAAATTCTGTTTCAAATGGTTGGTTAAATTTTATCTGATGTTTCATTTGGAAAATAACTTTATGCGTAATATGGAAGCCGCTTGAAACAAATTGACATTTTGTGAATCTTGTTCAGCACCGAATAATTTAAGGCTAACAAAGTAATTTTCGTTTCCCAGACACGAGTCTGTCTAATCAAATCCCACTTGGGAGCGTCCAATCAAGGAAAGACAACTGTCGATGGACTACATGCCTACAGAATTCAGTAGATTATGCACTGGTCTATAGAACGGGGCACATACATAGGAAACTAAGTAAAGGAAGCTGGGACTGCATTGGTGTACGACCATCAACTACAGCAGCCTATGATTATGAGTTGACACACACGCAAAATATAACTAATTTCTCGAAAAATTAAGTGTACTAGTTGTATCGAATGTGGTGCGTAACCTTGTCTGACTAGAAAGCATTCCAAAATTAAAGAACTCACCGGCGAAAAAAAGTGATAACAGATTGAAGTGGAAACACTCTGAAAAGCCTGAACAACCTTATCTGCATTGAGGTCCGATGTAGGTGCAAGTCCCAATTTTCCAGAAAAATAATGGAGAAAATTTGAAAGAAACTTCAGGCGTTCGACCAGTTGTAAATGAACCCCCGGAATAGGATACTCGCCAATCTGCGTTGAATAAAATATAAGAACGACACTGGCGCACCGTCAACACATCACTAATTTGTCGTCCACTCAGTTCTTCGGTACCGGGAACAGAGCACTCTTCTATACCCGATTGTTTAGTTGTTGAGGCCGCAAACTTGAATGGCGTGAACTTCATACTTCCCCGCTTTTCTACTCCGACAATTAGCGTGGTACCGAACGCAGTGTCCACTTCAATGCTAAGCGTTTGACGTGGCGTTCCGACACCTATATCCATGGATAGAAATCCCTGAACGAATACATCGAACAGAATTGACACGTACTTGGTGATGCAGTTTAAGCGTGTGTGAGTACGCCTCTCTCCTCGGGCGTTCGAGCTTTATTTCTTCCGTGTAATTCAAACTTGGGTTTATTCTAGTCTTCCATCTCATAGCTATTAAATACCTACCTGGTCGGCGAAGCGGATAGACACAAACAACAGCAGTGTAGTATAAACTGGACTAGGTACGTTCCAACCATAGAATAGACTGGAGTAAAAATATTTGCTGAGTAGAAACGAGTTGTGCGAACGTGAAACCTATGATTGTGCGTGAGCCTTCACAACAATTTGTTTGTTGAACGATACAAACCGGATTGGTTAGAAGATACGCTTTGAACAACTAATTGAAAGGCTGAAGGGATTTGATTAAATTACCTGTCCTACCGAAGTAATGTGTGGTTATTGGTTCGCCGTGTTTTTGTCTTTGGCATAGAGCGCAACAGTCCCTCACTGCCTTCGCCATCATGCGACTGGTCAGATGCATTTACAGCCGAACAAAAGTTGTTGGTAATCCCAAAACATAAGCCTGACTTATTGGTTGTTGATCAGGTGGCTGTTGATCTGTTCGCCGAGCTTGGCAATTGGCTTGCAAACGTTTCGTCACCATACGAGGAGACATCATCAATGCGCAGTTGAGTGGGTACTTCTTCCTTGACTGACTTGTTTCATTTGCTTATATTAGGACTCCCATCTAATTTCAATCAAATACCATTGGATTTAAAATAGGAACCTGGTATTCTTCTGTTTGACAATCAGCGGTAGGTTATACTAACAAGAGTGCTTCACAAAGCTCTTAGCGGGTGAACATGCCTGGCACGCTGAAGAATTGGAAAATGTAGTGTGATCAACGTGGCGTGATTTATTTCAGCTTGCAAAAATAGGGCCCCATCTATCTATGAGAACACATCTTCCAGAGGGTACAAATTGTTTGCAAACCCTTCTGTTGAGCCGTTCGATTGAAAACGGTCGTTAATGAGCTGATAAGTGTGAACTGGTGATGGTACGGATGGTACATGCAGACACACTCATTAGCGAGTCAACTGGGTTTTGCAGGAGACCAACCTTGAACCCAGCTGAATCTCTTGTTCGCGATGTATTACCTGTGTATTGCTACAACTCGAATATCGCAGCAACTGGGAAATAGGGTGGACTGATGGAACACATTCAGTTGCTTAGAAACGTTATAAACGTGAGATTCAGCTGGGTAACAGGTGAGTCTCTCGGAAAACCAAATTGGTTTGCAAATGGTTGTATTTTACTTAGTTATTGCAATGGGGGTTCAAGCAGATCAAACTCGAGGAGTCCTCGATTAGCTTCAAGAAGAGAAATACCCCGCTGAGCTGTCGAGGACTTTTAAGCAAACCTATGAGTAATGTTTTGTGTCTATACACTTGGAGAACATGTGCTTTAGAAGTTTTTTAGGCGTCCAATGTCGAGGATCCTAAAAACATAATGCAGTGTTCAATCAGCCCATTTAGAGGATATTACTGCCATTATTCTCCTCCTGTCAGGGCACTAATAAACCGAAAACACTTCAACGACTAGTCCGTTGGAATACTAATAGCTCGGATGCATTTGTTCGTAATTGATCACGTGGCTGATGATCTGTTTGCCGAGCTTGGCAATCGATTTGCAAACGTCATTTCAACATTTGAAGAGACATCTTTTGTGCGCTGTTGTGTTGGTGGTCCTTCTTTGTGTGCCGGCGTTCATTTAGTTTACAAATGACAGCCTTTGTGCCGTAGGCTGATTGAGCACTGATAATCATCTCTGCTGGATCCTGGTTCGTCGGATTATAGCGTGTACTGAGTTTGATTTGTATTTCTTGCATTCTACAGCCAAGCAACTTTTATCTCGCGCCACCACCGATCGATGTCTGTGTAGACTTTGAGTTCGCCCCCCACCCAGCCGCATGCTATGGTCGATTCTGGAGCGACCTTCGCCCTTGTCTTTCCTGGTTTCAAGCTACTGATTTTTGTCGGTCTTACTCCAACAGCCAGAGAGCCCGTTGGTACATATTATAACAGTTACTGCTTAACATCAGGTTTAATTTTGTGTCTGTTAAATTGATAATCGAGAAAGGTGAAACGATTGCCATAAATAATCCAAAGCTTCTGCTTCATTAGAAATGCAACTTATATGTTATACATGGTAGAATCAACGTCATTTGATCGGCGCACAATTAGTCGAAACCTCTGCCCCAGACACTTTTATGAAAATATTCAGATTGCAAAAGACTAACCGAACTTCTAGTTGATTTCTAATCTGAAATCTACTGTCACGACTTCCACATGACTGTATGTCTTGGAATACATTGCACCAGAAGTTCCCCTAGACGACTGCGCGCTCTACCGATTTGTGCGTTTTTGGAGCTGTAGAGGAACCCGTAAAACATGTGAAAGACACAGATGCTCGGAAGTAAACGTTCAGTGTCTTGCACAGCAAACAATCTGGTGAACAGTACGTGATGTGTCTGGATCGAAAAATTTGCCATTTACGACCCCACATTTTTCCAATACTTACAGGAGCTAGCGGAATGTGCAGGCGCATCCGAGTTTGGAATCAGCATTTTGTTTGTTTCCTCAATGAAAAAAATCTGTTCATGGGGTTTTGTGACAAACAATGTGTTGCTTATCGGATGGAAACTAGAACAAGTATGCAAAAAGTTGAAGCGCACGGCTTCGTTTTCTCCACTCTGAGATAGTGGAGTGTTCCAATCCAGTCGTAAACGAGTGCTATAATCCTGAGGAAAAGCGGATGGTGTACAACGGCACAACGGAACAGATTATTTGATGAGTGCTTTCCGTCAAGGGAGATGCACAGCATCCGAAGTCTGATAAAAATGGGACTTTTTTCCCAACTGGTTGGTGACATAACGTCGGGCACGATCACACGATTACAGTGAGAATTAAGCACGACCGGGTGGGATGGGCGCTTACTGGGATCTGCGCGACAAAAGGACAGTCATAGAGAGTGGGCAATGAACTTGGTCATGCCTAAACCAGCATGGGAAATGAAACACAGTTACCAGCAGTTTATAATAATTATAATTATAATTATCGACTTATTTCCCAGCTTGTATGCAACATGCCGATTGAGGCGTGATCGGGCTGTTACAACCTGAACGCGGCAGGCAGCAATATAACGGAGAGGAAATTTCAACCAACGAGGCATGCTTATTACATGAAAAGGTGAACGCAGTTGTGGGAACCAAAAAAACGGGGACAGTGAGCGTGAGGTACGACTAGTTCAACGATGAGGCTAACTGACCTGAACTAAAACTGAAAACCGTCGCTGGCCATGAGTGACCTTGGGTCATCGGGTAAATGGCTAGGGTCATAAAAAGCAAAATTGGGGATGGAGATTGAAGAATTCGATCCCTAGACAAATGGCAGGTTTGTCTCGAAAATATGCTTTGAACCGAAACAGAGTAGACACAGTGGTGTCACTGTTGTAGAGGAATCAGGTGTGAAGGATAGTTTACATGGGGAGATAGTGTCACTGCATAGGGCCAAACAAACACCGTAAATGAAATCAAACTATTTGAAGAGGCGAACCGAAAGTAAGGCGGAAAACTAGGTTAAATCCAAACGGCAGGTTCAGCCTTATAGAACGAGGCGGCTGGGGCCAGGTGAAAAATTTGTTTGTATTTGTGATCATGGGCTCGAGAGGGAGAGAGGTTGCGGTCCATATTCTGAGGAAAATAGCTGCGGGAGCGTCGCCAGACTTGGTATGGCAGTGCCATTCCTTTATCGCACTAACACAATTCGGTTTCTGTGCAGCTTCGTGACGGTCGTCAAGGTTTCTGCAGTGGGGCAGGGGATTCGCATTTTCGTGGTAGCTAGGTCTGGGTTAGACAAGGAGAATAACAGATAGTGTCAAGCCAATGATGAGTCAAGGAAACTTTCCAATCAGCATGAGCACAATGGGAATGTAGACCGTGAGCATTCCGGACTGAATGAATAAACAAGTTGCGTGATGCTTTCGCGCAACTACAGGGGAAGTTTGAGGCTTGAAAAGAGGGAGAATCAAGATGGAACAGGATTAGTGTGTAAGCGTCTGTTGAGTGCCAGGAGGCATATGATAAAACGGCGTCCAATAGACAAACCTAATAGGGGATGACATCAAGCTAAATGAACCCAGGAAGATGTGAGTGTTGTTGGCTGACCGGGAAGCAACGTACTGCCTGGGCCAATGCAGGTGCCTAATTTTGGGAAAGTAAGCACTTAGACGCCGTGGCAGGGGGGCCGGCCGTTGGAACAGGTTGAAACTGGCGCATACATGGTAAGATCGCATGGCGGTATGTTTAGCTTGGCAAAATAATCCTATCATAGGGTCTCCAGTCTGAGCAAAGATGGCGTCAAAGTAACCACAGACGGGAGACAAATAATAAACTGTCGAGCAATATCTCAGATAATCTATAAGGACTCCAGTTTAACCGTAATCTACTAAGCAAACGTAGCAGAAAGTAAGATTATGGGTCGCCAGTCGCAAAACCGCTCCTGTCAGCTTCAAGTAACAAATGGTTCGTGGTAAAAACGGTCAACAGGGGCTAGCTATGACTGTTGGTAGTCAGGAAATAATTATGGGTTTACGTTTCATGTGTATATGGTTGCCTCAGAGAACAAGAGGGAAGAACGTGTGTTACGTCTAGATGGTGAAGTTAACTTGGGATGGTCCAACCCAACGAAGACAAAGATGGCGACTCCCTTATCGCTGTGAGCCTTTTACAGTACCCCCAGGCTACCTATTGCATACATATTTTTAAATCAAGCAAAAAGTTTTCTGTCATTCGCTTGGTGTTTCCACACAAGTGACAACCGGGACAAGTCCAATCCCGAATTAAAGGCCAGTCCATCGATGGACGTTACGCCCTCGCTACTGGAGGACGCACCATGGTGCGACCTGACAGCACAACCTTCCCTGCAGGGCGCACCCATCCATCACATGAGGTTTTCATCCCTCGAACATGCTACCAGATCCGCAAGGCGACAATCCATCAAGCAGTCATAATTCCGGTTTGTGCATCGATAAACAACTCAAGCTACCAGATATTCTACCCGGTCGGGAGTAAGCTAGGCCAATAAAACAGTTGTCATTTCCAACAAGCAAACAGTGAACAGCCACTAGAAGAGGCAAGTCGGGGAGGCAAATGAAACGCCAGATACCGTTTGGGCCGTGAGAGTGGAATGCAGATGTGCAGAGCCTGTGTACTATGGCTAAACGACGACGAGGCATTGATGTGATCCAACATTTCAAATGGAGGAGCAAGTGTAATAACAGCTATCTGATGATGTCGAAAACGCTCGTCGTCGTGGTTTAGTAATGAATTTCAAGCTGGAATATTGCTTCTTCTGGGACCAAATCCTGGCATTTCGGGATGAACCCTGGATGCTTGGTCGAGGTTTAGTAGATTCGGTTCATCCCAAATCATCAAGCTGCCTAAAATTGGTGAGTAATAATGGGTCTCGTAATACAGACTTAAGATAGTGAACGTGCTTCAATTAAAGTGAAAGAAGGAAACCATCATTCATAAGCCGTTCCTTGTATGTACATCTCGAAGTTCTCGGAAACCGTAATTTGACAGAGTAAAACTTTAACATAAAGGTATTGGATTTGATGGTATTTGTTTCATCATTTAAAATCAATTTTCCTGAAAGTCTTTTTTAAACTTACTCACGGTTCACTAGAAGAATGGGAACAATATTCAACGGCAGCTGGCAACTCAGTATGGTGTCCCCACAAAATCAGTGGGATCTCGCCGAAAATTTGGTTTCTTCACGTGTTTCCTCTTTATTAAAAAGGAAGGAGATCTGTAAGATACTTGTCTGATACGTACGTATGTCCGCGCAAAATGGGGCTGCAATTCGCGTCTTCTATAAAAAGGATTGCACTCAGTTTTGCAGGTCTTTCAGTCAAACAAATTCAGGGGAATCATCACAGCTTGTAATTTTTGTATGCACGGAGTGTACGGAGGTGTATTACCGTAACAATATACTGACCCTTTGGTAATGCCATGAGAAGAAACGGTGAATAAATGGTAAAACAGCAGACGTGAAATGTGGTGGCCAATCTTGTGAAGTTATTGAAACGTTCAAAAGATACGGCCGGTCTTGTAGGACCATTTAACACTAATATGGTACAATTTGGCAAGCCACCTGACTGACACAGAACATGCGCTGGCGTTTCGCTAAATGCGCAATCTTTACAGGACACAAGAAAACACCCAACCATGAGAGACCATGCAAAGCGGGGGAAAATGTGCTGTAGAAGTGTATGGAACCTCACCGCAGCAATAAACCAACCGCGTACTCTTCAAGAGACAGGAAGATTTAACCCACAACTGACCATTTGTTGTATCCAAATTATAGAGACAACAATGCGTAGGCCTATATTTTGATACAGCGACTTCGTCATATCAAACTTGTAAAGATGTAAACAATATATTTGGGGACATACGAGTTGCTATAAAGGATGAGAGATGTTGCCCAAGGCTCCCGGGTCGTGTTCTTCTCGCAAGCCACCTGACTGACACAGAACATGCGCTGGCGTTTCGCTAAATGCGCAATCTTTACAGGACACAAGAAAACACCCAACCATGAGAGACCATGCAAAGCGGGGGAAAATGTGCTGTAGAAGTGTATGGAACCTCACCGCAGCAATAAACCAACCGCGTACTCTTCAAGAGACAGGAAGATTTAACCCACAACTGACCATTTGTTGTATCCAAATTATAGAGACAACAATGCGTAGGCCTATATTTTGATACAGCGACTTCGTCATATCAAACTTGTAAAGATGTAAACAATATATTTGGGGACATACGAGTTGCTATAAAGGATGAGAGATGTTGCCCAAGGCTCCCGGGTCGGTTTTGTTCTTCTCCTCCAGCGGCTGCATTTCACCTGAAAGGAACACTGCTCTTTCAGTTCCAAGCGCGGAGCAATAAGTTCGCCAACACGGGGTTTCCCACAGAAAGCGTCTAACGGGACGTCCAACTGGGTCCTGGTGCAAGCGTGGACAGCCGCCACTGAAAGGTTATTCCGCCCGAAAGAGTTTTGCCCGCTGAAAGTGTGCGCCCTCTGTATGAAGATCTTCCCACCATGTAACGCGTGTGTAAGCTTTGTCATCGGTGAAAATCCCGCTGGCCATACGTTGTCATAGCAGGGCACGAGTTGTAATGATGTCACCACGGAGGCGACGATACTCCAGGAGAAATAGGCCAAGAACAACGAGATGCGTTTCATAGTCCACGGATTTAAGGATGTGAACCGTTCTCGTAAGAGCTCGCTGGACATGCTGAACGAGGGTTGCGTTCATTTTGTGTTCTTAACAGATAACTTGGTTTCCAATTCCAAAACGTCGTCTGACGTATGCCGAATACAGCATTCGGATGTTCATGCGAACGATGTGGGAGACGATGCGCTGAAACATTTGAAAAACGCCGGATGCCATCTGAGCTAATTTCCCTCGGTGCACTGAGAGCGTTTCTGAAGGAAGCCGGACACCGAAATGTCTTTCAAGTGTAGGTTGAGCATACCTTCATTCGGACTGTTCTACCTGATGAAAAAAGCTTAACTCAATGTAGAATTTTCCCTTGAATCTCGTAAATCTCGAGGTTTGGAGCAGCGTGTCGTATGAGACACGTTCAAGTGCTTTGTTGGAGTCGAAGAATAAGGCATCCGATGTGAGTCCATAG